AAGCAGGATATTCTACACTAAATTGTTAGGAATTAATCACACTATAATTCACATTTCAAAATGTGACGTAACTCAAAGAATAAAAATGTAGATTTACCGTATGTTATTGTTGAGCGACTCTTAGCACGACTGAAATGCTCAACAATTACTTTACGCGGTGGGCAGTATAAGTAGCTCAGAGCTTTGAATCTGAGTGAAACCAAGAGTGCAACACAATCAACTTTTTTAAAGTCCATGAAATAATTTAAATTGATAGATTAGTTTAAACTTTTCCTGTCACTGGGGACGGGTATTTTTGCTTGTCAAAATATAAAATTCATTAAAATAATCATCAACATTATCCTTATAACAGATCTACTTTCAGGGGGAAAAAACGCTTTTAGTGTGTTCTACGCTGAGTAAAAAGGTCAGCTGATCATAAAGTAAACATTATATAATGAAAAATATGTTTTGTTTTAAACAATTAATTGCAAAGAGAATAATATATTTCTAGTTACTTCTCCTCCTTTTTTAGGTTTACATATTATATAAATTTCATTATGATTTTTCTACTGTTCCATAAGTATATAAATCTAAGTCAAAACGAATAATAACGTCACTATGTGTTTGTCTGATTTTGTACATTAAAAGGGCAATGTCACCGTTGAACGCTGATAAAATATAAAATCACCTGACTAAACACGACTTAAGCATTAGTGTTTTAAAAATTTTCTTAAAGTTTGTAATATAATAAAATAGATTTACCATACTTTAAGATAAGATCCTTGAAGTAGGTAATATAATAAGATAGATTTATCATACTTTAAGATAAGATTCCTGAAGTAGGTAATATAATAAAATAGATTTATCATACTTTAAGATAAGATTCTTGAAGTAGGTAATATAATAAAATAGATTTATCATACTTTAAGATAAGATTCTTGAAGTAGGTAATATAATGAAATAGATTTATCATACTTTAAGATAAGATTCTTGAAGTAAGCAATGTCATAAAATAGATTTATCATACTTTAAGTTAAGATTATTGAAGTAGGTAATGTAATAAAATAGATTTATCATACTTTAAGATAAGATTCTTGAAGTAGGTAATATAATGAAATAGATTTATCATACTTTAAAATAAGATTCTTGAAGTAGGCAATGTAATAAAATAGATTTATCATATTTTAAGTAAGCGTGGGTTAATTACTTTCCCGCAAAGGGGAAAATAAAACAACTAATATTTATCGTGTTTTATTAATCATTAAAATCTTTTAATGAGAGGAGTGTGTTACTTATAGAAAACTTAAACCTTCAAGGAAATCCTTTTATTATATCTGTGAACGTAACAACTGAGGTAAACAAGTCAAAGTGTTACAAGCTATTTTACTTATCTGAAAACCTTAGGCCGTACGAAACGTTGTTTCTTTGTTATTTTTACTTCTTTAGTTTCCCTTTAAATTTGCATTCTTCTCATTTGATGTTTATTCAATAACTTGTTAATTTCTTTGTTTTTGCGTTCAAGAAATTTATTCTATACAATTCGTGTTTTCTTTCGACATGTTCACGTTTTTACAAATATAAACCAGTTAGATGATTAAAAACACGGCTCGGCATGGCCAGGTAGTTACGGCGCTCGACTCGCAATCTGAGGGTCGCGGGTTCGAATCCCCGTCCCCCCAAACATGCTCGTCCTTTCAGCAGTGGGGGCGTTATAATGTGACGGTCAATCCCACTATTCGTTGGTAAAAGAGTAGCCCAAGAGTTGGCGGTGGGTGGTGATGACTAGCTGCCTTTCCCTCTAGTCTTACACTGCTAAATTAGGGACGGCTAGTGCAGATAGCCCTCGTGCTGCTTTGCGCGAAATTCAAACAAACATTTTTTTTATGATTAAAAACATAAAATTCTTCTATTCCATTCCTAAAAAAAAAAACTATTCTGGTGCTTCCTGTTTTAAAATATAATTTTCAAGTTTCAAATTTTTGCTTTGACAAAAACCAATCTAAAAGGTAAAATGGAACATAGGAGCGAAAACAGCGTTAAGAACAAAATGCGTCTATGTGGAATAAGGTGTTAACTTAATTCCTTGATAAAAAAAATAAGCATATTAAGTGCTCTGCGAAAATGGTCGACTTAAAACGTTTTTGTTTTTGGTGCAGTCAATAAAAGTGCGTTAAATAGGTTTTTGTAATGTCTTTAAAATATTGTTACTATTATTATTGGCTTGTTACTCCAGATCATACTGTAAAACGTTTCTAATGGATATTAGCTTATATGGGTTACTCATATGCTATGTATTCAACATTATACAAGATTAGTTCAGGTTATGAATACGTCTGTGTACAATAACGGGAGTTAATAAAAGATAAAACAGTAAAGTGTTATGTAATTTTGAATTAATTTTTAATGAGACAATCTCATATCCTATCATTCTAAAAACATACAATTCTGTACAAAATGTTTAGTGAAAGTTTGAAGGAGACCATACGCATAATAAAATTACACAGTGTAACGGTTTGGTTTGAATTTCGCGCAAAGCTATCTGGACTAGCCGTTCCTAATTTAGCAGTGATAGGATAGAGGGAATACTGCTAGTCATCACCACTCACCGCCAACTCTTGGGCTATTCTTTACCAACGAATATTGGGATTGATCGTCACATTATAACGCCCCCGCGGCTGAAAGGGCGAGCATGTTTAGTGTGACGGGGATTCGAGCCCGCGACCCTCAGATTGCGAGTCGAGCGCCTTATCCACCTGGCCATGCCGGGCCCTACAGTTTATATATGGTATCGAGTGGCAGGACATTACTGAGCTGTACAGCAAAAAACAAACAAAGTACAGTTTATGAAGAAACAAAGTAACAATAAATATAACAGTAATATAAATACCTGAACCGTACAATAACTAGGTAAAATATTGGTTCTGTAATGAAAACATAACAATGGAAATACCTGAACCGTACAATAACTGGGTAAAATATTGGTTCTATAATGAAAACATAACAATGGAAATACCTGAACCATACAATAACTAGGTAAAATATTGGCTCTGTAATGAAAACATAACAATGGGTATACCTGAACCGTACAATAACTGGGTAAATATTGGTTCTGTAATGAAAACATAACAATGGACATACCTGAACCAATACAATAACTAGGGTAAA